CCATGTTCTCTCCTTCCCCCCACCCCGGTGTCTTTTTACGGGTTTATCCCCCCCCCTTTTTTTTTTTTTTTTTTTTGGTCTTTTTTGAGACAGGGCCTCCCTGTCACCCCAGTGGTCTAGAACTCACAGAGATCTGCCTGCCTCTGCCTCTCAGTGCTGGGATTAAAGGCATGTGCCACCACACCCAGCATACCCCATGTTTCTATAGTCCTACTGTGGCATGTAGCTCCTGGGAGCCAGAATCCAATCTTGGCAAGTTCTAGGGTTGTTAGTATTTGGCCTAGAGCAGATATACAATGAATACCTGCAGAGTGATTCAGATCACTCACAAACCAGAAAGATCCAGGATGAAATACACAATTAACATGCTTCAATTCATGGTTCCTGCTTGCCTTTAAGAATGACACAGCCTCTCCTGAAAAGCCACTGCATCTAAACTGCAGAACAACAACTGGAGATGGTCTAGCAGCACTTTCTCCTTCCCCTCAAGAGTAGAATATTGCTCGGGGTTCCATGGATACATGACCTCAAACTAATGGCAAGTCTTTTACCTCAGCCTCCAAGTGCTGGGATTAAAAGTATGAGCCACTATGCTCAGTTTTCAATATGATTTCAAAACAGCAATTTTTTTTTTTGAAAAAATTTTTTTTTTTTTAAATCTCAGTAAGTGCCTATATCAGTATTTCCACCCATGGATTTTGAAGAATGCATTCACCCTATAGACCTGACCTCTATTACTCAGGGTCTTATAGGATAATGAAGTTGCACATAATACCAGGTACATATAAAATAATCTGGAAGCTCCAAGGAAGGAAGTATGGCTCTTGTCAGGAGCCCCAGGAAGGTCAGAAGTGCATGGAGCACAGATTTCAGTACTAGGAAAAGCTTAGGGGCCTGTGTTCCTCAGAGCTGCTCCCTGAGGTCTGGTAGCCTACCCTGTGCTGTCCTGAGAAGAGAACCCTTATGAGTACTGGCAACTCCTGTTCCAGGTCAACCATAATACTCTGTTACCTGTGAGGTTGGCTGCCATCTCTTCAGGGGTCTGTGATAGCCGTAAGCCTTGCTTCAAGGGGCCTTCTGAGTCCACGTACTGCCGGCGTTTGAGGTAGCAGGACACCGCCACCTGAACCTGCTCCGTGCGCACTCGTTTCATGACCTGTGGGAAGAGAGCACAGGAGGCACAATGAAAGGCATGGCAAGAGTATCACACAGGTGGAGAGATCAGTCACTAGCCATATAGGGTTTGAAGCCCCGTGAGGACACAAGTCTGGATTCCCCACTCATGAACCTGGCCTCACATCCATTTTATTTTTCTAGTGGTAATATAGTCAATTTATTTCTATGATGGAAAATATGGTTACAGAATAGATAATATGCCCCACAGACTACCCCCAAATAATACTTTTACCAGCTTCGTGGACCTTTTCATTAGTGCTCCTAACATCAAGAAAGCAGGGCCAGTTTGGATTTCAGGATATTTTTTGTTGTTCTGTGACAGAGGTGTTCATTAGCAGTGAAGTTGTTTAAAAAGCTCAAGCAGGAGGCAGATCAAGATCAAAGGCCTGAGAAACCCAGACACTGGGCAAGCAGACATGGACAAGGTGAGAATTTGGCAATGGGAAGTATACATTTGTAATATTTTTACTTTTTGTGGCTCTAAGGATCAGACTCAGAGCCTCACACGTTAGATAAGTGCTCTACTACTGAGCTGCACCCTTGTCCTATAGTTCTTTCTTACTTGTCATTAATTGAACCATGGACACAGAAAACAATCAGAACACTAAGAGCTGGCACAAACATGTTAAAATGGATCATTAAATTCTTAGAAGAAAGTGGTGTGACCTAAATGGGGACAAATTATTTTTTGAATTAACTGAAACTAATTTGAGGTTTTTAAAAAAAGAGATTTAGAGCCGGGTGTGGTGGCAGGCCCAGCACTTGGGAGGCAGAGGCAGGTGGATCTCTGTGAGTTCTAGGCCATTTTGGTCTACATAGTGAGTTCAGGTCAACGGGGAGACCCTATTTCGAAAAGACCACCACCACCACCAACAAAAACCAGAGAGAGAAAGAGAGAGATTTAGTAGAAAAAAAGAGTTAGTAAAAACGGGACTATTTTCTGTTAGTATCAACTTTACTTCATAAGAATGGCAGTATTGTCACAGCCTCAAATACAACTTTACCAGAAAATGAAGCTGAAACACAAATGACCAAAGACTGGGGGGTAAATTTCCTAGGTTCACTTCTGTCATGACTTGGTTCCAGATGAACAGGTCTCCTTGGCTCACAAGTGGATCCCTACCTGCCTCAGGACCTTTGTTTTTGGATTCTTTCTGCCAAGGACCCTCGTTCCCTAGATTTCTGATTCAGTGATACAACATGCCCCCTCATCACAAGCCCTGACCACCCTAAACAGCAGCCTCCCTCCAGTGTCCTCTATCCCCCTCATCACTGTATGTTCCATTCTGCCTTTATGTGTGTTTACAAAATGAACTTGGTGCCCTGGTGCACAGCTTTAATCCCAGCACCCAGGAAGCAGAGACTGGTGGATCTCTATTGTGTTCAAGGCCTACACAATCTGGTCTACATATTGAGTTCCAGGCCAGTCAGTGCTACACAATGAGACCCCCATCTCAAAACAAACAAAATCAACCAACCAAAACAAAACAAAAACCCCACAACTGGCCAAGCCAGATGGATCAGTAGGTAAAACACTTGCCATAAACCCTTATAATCTGCCATGTAAAGAGAACCAACTCCAAAGTTGTCCTCTGACTGCCACACATGTGGGCTGTGGCATGTATGAACCCCAACTCAAAATAACTCCACTAGAGACATACATATAGGTTGGGAAGAGAAAGGAGATCAGTGGGAGTGGGAGAAGACAGGGTAATGGGGGGGGGTATGATCAAATACATTATAAACACACATGAAATGTCACAACAAACCCATGATTATTATGCGTAAATACCTATTATAATAAAACATTTAAAAACATCATATTTTCTTCTCCAAGATCAAAACATAGTGTTTGGAGAGCCTAGAGAGGAGGCTCAGCCGTTAAAAGCACTTGTTGTTCTTCCAAAAGACCTGGGTTTGGTTACCAGCACCAGCATGGTAACTCACAACTATCTGTAACTCCACCTCCAGGGGGATCCAACAACCTCTTCTGGCCTCCACAGGCACTGCACACATATAGTGAACATACATACACGCAGACAAACACACATATGTTTAGTTTTCAGTTTCACTCATACATCAGTCTTCTTTGAGAGTTCTTCCAATCTTTAAGACTTAAAGCTTTCATTTTTTTTCAGAAACCTGGTATTCTTTATTTTTAAAGCATTTACTTCTAGCTCTTATCCATCTGCAATTTCTTTTAACATACGGTATATGAACCGTCAAGCCCATGTCTGCAAATGTCTTTTTTCTTCCAAATTGGTTTTTTTTTTTTTTTTTCTTTTGGTCTTTTTGAGACAGGATCTTCCTCTGCAGAACTCAAAGAGATCTGCCTGCCTCCCCATTACTGGGATTAAGGGAGTGTGCCACCACGCCCAGCTTTCTAAACTGATTAGTATGGGAGACCCTGACCCACCTTTCAATTTTCTGAAAGTCATACAACAGGGAAACAGGGAGAGCTGGAGATACAAAACACATGTATGTTACAGACAAAATGTTACCAAAGTCAGAGATTGTTATCTTATGCATTTCAACCCTAGATTACCACAAAGAACCCAAGATACCTGTCAGAAAGGACTAATGTTGACATTGGTACAATTTGATCATGGAGGAAAGCACTAATAAACTGCCAACAATGACCTTCCTTTTCACTGCAGAATGTGTCCTTCTCCATCATGCCGTATTATTCTTCCAGTGTATTGATGAGCTATTTATAGAAATATTTTATTTATTACTTTTATTTTTATGTGAATGAGTGTATTGCCTGCATGTATAGAAGTGCACCTGTGTTATGCAATGCCTACAGAGGTTAGAATAGGGCATCGGATCTCCTGAACTGGAGTTATGGACAGTTGTTAGCCACCATGTGGGTGCTAAGAATCTAACCCGGGTCCTCTGCAAGAACAGTCAGTGCTCTTAAACTGCTGAGCCATCTCTCCAGTCCTTGATGAGCTATTTTAATTAAGCTTCTTTTTAATTGCTAACACAGGGGCCCAGATAATTTGAGAGGTAGCCCCCAACCCATTAATGAAGCCAGATCTTTCTCTGTGACCACTATTCAATATTGTGACTGCATCAGTGACTCGTTAACTTGGCTATACAAGAATCCTGGGTGTGTATACGGGTAAGTAACCTCAGCCCTGGAGACTTTTGATTCAGTGTTATATTGAGAGAGAGAGAGAGAGAGAGAGAGAGAGAGAGAGAGAGAGAGAGGTTTATATATGTTCACAGAGACCAGAGGTGTCAGATTAGA